CTTCTCTATAAGAAAACAACTCCAGCAACAACAACAACAACAACAACAGCAGCCGTATATGACATTTTAATTATGTTGCTGTCAAATTGTTGTTGCTGCCGCAGCCGCAGCCGCAGCCGCAGCCGCAGCCGCAGCGCGTCTCAATTGCAATTAATAATATTTAATAACAGTCGCGCCGGCATCGCACAGCCGTCAAGTGCATAGATTGAAATGTTATGGAAGTGTTTTGTCATCGCATGAAATGGAGATGAGCCGCATTTACATAGCACTCGCATTGTTAGCCGTGACTTATAGTCGAATTAGATGCTTGCCTAGCAATTGTAGCTCAATTAACACATCGAACCTATGCTGGTAGTTACTATTTTCTGTTTTTTGTTTTAACTTTCAAGTCTGATTGTACGTGCACATATGTTATTTAATTTATTTCCTTATACGTAAATGATGTCTTAAGCCAATTATCGAGTCGCCTCAATATACATACTTGATTAAGACTTGAATGAAATATTCGAAAACAACATTATTTATAGTTAATAAGAGTCTTAGGTGCCTAATAACGTTATGTATAAATGATCTCTCGCCGTCCGAGCGTATCAATTTTATGAAATATTTATTTAAATGAATTATATTTATTTTTGCCGAAGAGTTTTGTGAGCCACAGTGGAGCGAAACCGGCTTGAATATGATATTTGAATTTTTAATTTTTGTTTCTTTTAATTTTAGTTATGAACTAACATATGAACTGAAATAGGGGCTCTAAAGGCAGCCATAAATGTTGAAAAACATATGAAATATCGATACTAAATATATATACTTAAATAAAAGTATTTTGCAAGCTATTAGTTGAGCCGTTTTAATATTAATAAGCATGATATATCTAAGCAAAACTATATTATTATCTATGCGGCAAACCCACTCAGAAAATCAGTAAACGGAGAGCGGCTCAGCCTATATTTTATGAGGAATTAATTTGTAGCCTTACACAAAAATGTCATTTAAATGAAATATTTTTCACACATTTCACTTAAAAAAAAAAAAAAAAAAAAAAAAAAAATTTTTTAATTTTTTAATTTTTTTTTTTATAAATAATTTTAGCTGATTTATGAATATTAAAAGTGAAACAATAAACAAAAAAATTAAAATAAATAAATATATATTTTCTATAGCTTATTTCACTTTTTGCTTAAATAAAAATAAAATATTATATAAAATTTGTTAAATATATTTAATTTATTATTTATATTATCTGTCTGTCTTTATTAATTTCATTTAAAGTTGCAAATTAATATTTATTGTTTTAATAAATTCATATTTCACATTCTTAATTGTTTTTCTTATATATTATATAATATTCAGTGTAATTTTTAAACACATCTTAATTTCTTTCTGACGACTTTTGTACTAACTTGATTTTTACTTTTTTTGTATTTATTTATTTTATTTTATTTTATTTTTTCAACATAAAATTCATCTTGTTTTTCAACAATAAGATTTGTTGCTTTCTGTATTCATTAATTGGACTTTAACATGTTTGTTTTCATTTCAATCAGATTTCTGTATTGATGTTTTTTATTTCGAAATTTATTCCATTGTGCCATCAATTTATTCATTTATTGCACAAGCTGTGACAAATCGCAAACGAATTCATATTTATTAAATTGTTAATGTTGCTGCTTGCTGCTTGCGCATCTCTGAAACGCCGGCCGACAGCTGGAGCTGCAGCTGCAACGGGGCGTGGCTGGTGTACATTTGCTAAAAGATTGATGGGGCGACGGAAGCGCAGCGGGCAACAAGGATGCACCAACAGATTTGAGTGACACTGACCGATCCGCCCCCGCAGCACCACAGGCCATGCAATTGCTGATAAATGACAGAATGTTAAACACACACACACACACACACATACTCTCGTCAATTTTATGTGTAAAGATAGTTCCGCAAAATGTTGACAAAAGTGCGCAAATATATTGCACTGAACAAATTGTCCGATTAGAGAAATTATCAGCAAGGCAAACGAGCTCGTCTCGTTAATGTAACAACAACAACAACAACAACTACAAAATGGAAATGTTATGTCGACCTTATAGATAGAACACTATCTGATGGCAGGCGCATTGAACTGAATTGCGACACAACTGAACTGGGTCGTCCGCCAGCCAGCCAAGTATGTTTACTTAATTGTTAAGCAGAACATGAACTTAACAAATGGTACGAGTGGCATGAGTCAACTGCTCTTCATTATATATACATACATACATACATATATAGTATGTGTGTGCTTGCAATATCTTAATGTTATGCAGACACTTTCTAGGGAAGTGTTAGGTATTGTGAATGCATATTGTCAGGATGGCTGTGTGAACAAGTTTTCTCTTTATGTTCGCTTCCGTTAAGATGAATCAATGAATGAGCGAGTGAGTGAGTGAGTGAGTGCTGAGTGCCGCTAGTGGGTGGCAGCTGGATACAAATTGTGGTGGGGCACAGCACGCGTTGCTCGCAACAAAATTGACTCATAAAACCACAAGAGGCGATAACAGCCAGATGCTGAGCTAAATGAGCTGCCGGCTATCTGCTCATTTCAGTTCGTGTTTCTTCTCTGTTCTTTACATTTTTTTCTCACTTTACACACTTTTTGCTGAACATGCGTTTAGGTGTACGCAGCAACACGCACACGCTGAGATACATCGCGCTACAGCCACAGATACAAATGCAAAGTGCTCAGAATCGAATCGAAACGAATTGAATGGCATATGGGCTGGGCAGCAGAAGCAGAGGCAGAGGTAGAGGCAGAGGCAGAGACTGAGACTGGACAGGCGCCTTCATTGAAGGTCAATAATGTTTGTTTAAATTTTAGCTGCAACTCTGTATGTGTGTGTATGTGTGTGTGTGTGTGCGTATTGTTTAAGCGCAAATAAAACGTAATGAAGTGGATGGCTAAGTAGGAAATGTAAACTAGCATTCGAAAACAACGCGCACAACAAGTTGCAAAAAAGCAAAACAACAAAAAGCACAGCAGAGGTACATATAAAAACATAAAAACTCAAGAAGAAGCAGCAACTACACCCATATACATACATATACATACATATATAGTACACATGTTTATTTCATATTTTGGATTTTATTTTTGTTTTTTTCATAATATATATGTTGCTCTTTGTGAAATAAAATAAATCAGAAGTGCAGCTGAGACGTCACTGGCTGCCCTCCCCTGGCCTGCCCCTGCCAGCTGCCAACTGAGTGCTGCCTCCTGTTGCCAGTCAAGAGTCAGACATCATGTGTGGCATTCTGTGGCCAGGAAACCAGTTGGCGACCCGGCCAAGATCGGGCTACCACGTTGAGCCGGCGCAATCGTTTGTACTTGTTAATGGCTTTGTACGCGTAATTATTTTGGCAAGAAGCCGTGTCGCCGCGGCGCGAAAATCAGCTAAAGCGGAAACGCGATTCTGCTCCAATTTTATGAGCATATATCTGACCATGTTGTACACATTACATATATACACACACACATATATATGTATATATATATAGAGCGATATATATCTGTATACTTGTGGATTCCCTTTGCAGTTTTTAGCCCTGGTGAAAGGCTCCATTGGGAATTGGTTTGCCGCTTCGATTCTCTCTCATTGTTGTTGTTGCTTTTATTTTTCTGATATTTAATTGGGTGTTTTTATTGGCTTTTAATGATACGCGAAATGATCGAAGCTTCTGGCCGCAGGCAATGCACTGCCCCTTTAACTTTAGCTCAGCGCTACCCCAGTGCCACGCCCCGTTTGTGCAATGTCTCAAGTGATTGTTGCCCCCAAACCAGCCACAGTGCGTAGCCCGTAGCCCTTTGCCTGTATCCCGTACTCCGATCAACATAAAGTTCAATCAATGTCTTTCGCCGGCAATTATTAAAGAACACAATCATTTTCGAGAGCAAAAGGGTAACAGCAACTCGGCATGCATAAAATATATAGTTTAATTCGGTTAAATATTCATGTAAATTAAGTATGTTTTTATTTCCTTTTGGCTTAAATTTTAGAACGTATTTTTGGGCTTGGATAACAATATATTTTATTTATATCAGATCATTATTTGCTGTGACGTAAATATCTGTGACGCAGGTATCCGAGGTTAAAGACATTTATGAAACACGTTAGCTCCATAAAGTGTGAAGAATAGGAGTTGGTGATCTCAAAAGTCAGTGGCCAGACAGGAAAAGTTAGATAAATATGAATATTAAAGACAATATTTTCAGCACATTTCTGTTCATGCAAATCTAAAATATTCTAGAATATTTCTTCCTTATTCAATATACTGAATTTTAAAATATGTTTAGTATTTTCGTACATAAAGATTTTCCAAAAATATCTACTCAACTCTCTAGTCCTTTCTAGCTGCAATATTGTGAAAGCGCTTACTCAACACCTCAGCAACATAATATGTTGCTAACGTTGAGGCTAAGCAACATCGTATGTTATCAACATGTTATGTTGATAGTCTGTTGCGGCTATCAACATGCTGCTGTCAGCAACAGACGGTCGCGTATGAGTTATAACAGTGATGTTCAGCTTAGCCGGCTTAGCAACATGTTATGTTAACAGCATGTTGCGGCTGTTAGTGGACCGCGCATGTTAAGCGAGCTTCGAGCAGCATAATATATGTATGCTATGGGAATTGAATTGGAAAAGAATTTTAAGCAAATTTATGGTTTACTAAAAATTGTAATAAACAATATATTTATGCTGCATTCTAAATATTAATATTTATAGTATTTTTATGAGTTATATTTGCAGCACTTGAGCCAAGCATAGCGAAAAATGATTTCGTTTCGGCTGCGCAGTCCGCGCTGCTGCTCGCTCTCACCCGGCACGGCGACAGGTTGATCGGCGGCTTCTTTTGCGGCTGCCGCTGTTATCTCTGCCGCTGCCGCTGTCGCTGCCGCAGTCGCAGCCGCAGTTACCGCCGCCGTTCGCTGCCCGTTGCTCTTGGTATATAAACTTCAGCGTCGCCCAGCGTCCAATCAAACAGACGACGCCTTCAAGTCTAGCTGCACGCACGAGAGTGGAGTTGGAGTCGTCGGCAATATTTCGTGACGCTTTTTTGCTCGGTTTTTTGGACACACACACACACACTCAGCGAGCGAGAGAGAGAGATCTTTTTGCAAGCCTGCCCGGCAACGCGTGTGATTGAAATTGCAAAATCTAAATTTAAAATCCAACCAGAAAAAAAAGAAGAAAAGGAAATTCTAAATCGAATCTAAAGTGCAGTGAATGTAAGACTGTCGCCAGCGAAGAGCTTATGTTCAAGAGTGTTTAATTAAGTGAAAAGTGCTTAACTAAAGTTCTCATCTTGTAATCAAATCAATTCAAATACTAAACCACCTAAAATGATGCAGCACAGCGCTCTACTGCCTCTGGCCCTCGTGCTGATCTCCTGCGGAGCGGCTTTCGCCTGCCATGGCAAGCTAATCGGTAAGTCGTAGCTGACCAGCCCCAATTCCGCTATCGTCGATTCATTTGTATGCGGCCTGCCTGATTTGGGGCATTAAAATGACTGAGAATTTATATGGCCTCAAATGGCTGTTTGGCATTCGCGAATTTAAATACATTTTTATTTCCACACACAAATTATACGACTTTTCAGGCAAATAACTTTTGTGTTTCGCGTTTGGTTTTTAGTTTTGTGCCTTGCAAATTTCTACATTTATTTGCGCACATTTGAGGCACGTTTCAGTCATTTGTTTTATGAATGAATGAAAAGCAGCCAAAAGCCAGAGGCGGGCAATAGCAATAGCAATAGCTAAAGCAAAAGGTGCCCATAGAATTTCAGTCAATATTTGCCAACGCAATGTTTTATTTGGTTTGCATTTAGCGAAAGCCGCACTTGGTCACTGGCTGCGAGGTGTGCCCGAGAACTTGCCCAATATACAATACAATATACTCTCTACCGGGGATGACGCGAAAGAGCGAGCTCTTACATAAACTAAATAATTAATAGTTCCCAAATCATCGAAGCGCAAACCTGTTTGCATTTCCAGTTTATATAATCTCTAAAATATAGCGAAAAATTCGAATAGACCAAAGGCCAATCAACTTGGCAAATATCGAACTCAAATACAATTCGATTCATTAACATTCATTCCGTCCGATTAATATCGAATAACATAATTATGAAACGGTTCAGCAGCGAGTTTTGACAGCTCATTGAACTGCGAACTCGAGGCCCGTGAAGGTAATTCGCCTCTTAACTGAATTCGACAATTCGACACTCGGTGAGGTGCTCAAGCACCTGCCTGAGAAATTATACATATAATTTATTGGGGCGTGCTAAGTGGATAAGCGCAACATAAAAAAAGATCGCAAATGAATTAATTAAAATTTAAAAAAAGAAAAAAATCGAAAACAAATCAAAAACACTTGCCAAACAATTCTCTTGACGCGTTTTTGTGTTCTGCACACGCAGGCGCCGCCTTTTGTTAACAAAAACCCAAAACAAATTCCAGTTGTTATTGTTTATTTATTTTTTTTTCTTTCGTTTTTTTTCGGTTTTTTCGTTCGTAATAAAAATCAAAGTTTTTATAGTGCGCGTGTGCGTGTTGTTGATTAATGTTTGCTTTTTATGAATTTCAACGCAGTTCCGAACAATGGCACATGAGAAAATCCGAAAATTTTGGTTAATTATAATAGCTGAATTTACAGTTGAACTCTGCGGAGGAAACGTTTAGCTGCGCGGCATCAATCAAAGCATTGCCGTGCTAATAATGTAATTAAATATGTAGATGCGCAGCCAACAGGCAGAGCAACAGCAACAAGAGCAACAACAACAGCAACAACAACGACGACGACTACAACCTCAACGAACAACGAACAAGGGTAGCTGGGTGATAATCAGTAAATGATAAATGAAACAAAACATGTTGCGGCCAGCATAAAGCCTAACTATGCCGAAGCTCTTGATGCTGCCTGCTCCACGGCGTCTCCTTTTTGTGGCCGGCAACGCCAGCAACGCCAGCGCCTTCCCAGGCTGGCAGCTTCAAGGTGAAGTCAACGCGAGCTGCCAGTTAAGCACTTGTTAACATATTGTTGGCATTTGCTGCGCTGCAGTTCGTTGCTTAAGTCTTTTGTTTTGTGGTAGCTGTTGACGTTTCGTTGTCAACATTATGTTTCATATACAGTTGTTGTTGTTGCTGTTGTTGCTGTTGTTGTTGCTTTTGTTATTCACTCTGAAGCGTATGTAAATGTGGCGGAAATCGATCGATCGACAGCTTTATGCGCAATTTGTCAGAGAAGGTAGTTCACGAAATTTGCATAGCGCCCGTTGCACTGTGATTGATGCATATTGACTTAAAGCACTGTGAGGCTGACTGGCCGACTGAGTGGTTGACTGACTGACTGACTGACTGAGTGAGTGAGCGAGAGACAATGTTGTGCGTTGATTTACGTACCGGTTCATCTCAATGTCTGCCAACTGATATTTATGTAAATGTACTTTGTCGATATATGTATGTATATGAGAGATATGCATATGTATATATAGTATAGCATAACACTAACACGTCTTTAATTTGACAGCTGCGGTTGAGTTTGAAGCTCGACGGGTTCTGCAAGAGCCGCTCGCTCACTGCTATTTTTAGTCAGCGGCACTAACCTTGACAAAAAGCACACACACACAGACACAGACACAGACACAGCAACAACATAAAACACACTTACTAAAAAAAATAAAATAAAAACGTCCAGCTCAGCAGCTCGGATGTGCGAGCAAATGCGAACAAGCGATTCGGCTGGCTCTATTGACATCTAGACCCATATTTGTGCGAGCCGCAGCTAAGCGTAGCTGTAAATTTATTTACTCTGCTGATGCTGTTGCTTTAGTTGTTGTTGTTGTTGTTGTTGCTGCTGGTCGCGTCAAGTTGTCTGAGTGTCTGAGCTGCAGCACGTTTGCCGCACTTGACCGGCAGCTGGCGATGCCATGGCCCTGGCAGTGGCAGTGGCAGTGGCAGGGGCAGCAGGAGTTCGCTTGTTAAATGCGCTCACGTCGCATCGGCGCAATCTCGGCCCGACTCTCGACTCTCGACTCTCTGGCCATTATTATAATTATTAAAAATTATTAAGCGCGCGTAATTATTTAAATGAAATGCGGCTGCAATAACTGGACACGCCCAAAACCGTCCAGGAAGGAGCAACGCTTGCTTGGTTTTTCCTCAACGAAATCTCATGCCATATATGTCGTCAATATAAATCGCATATGCGCTTATACGAGGCTCACGTACGCTGGCCGCTGGTTCCACTAATTAACACCCAGCGGCAATTTAGTTGCTGCTCTCCACAAAAACTCCGTGATCATCGGCCCATGGCAGCGGCATACCTATAAATTGAAGCGCAAAGTATGCTCCACTTGAGGCAATCTTTTGTTTCAAATTATGAAAGTTCAATGAAGCCAATTTGTCTGCTTCTGACACACTTCACACCAGGCATCGTGAGTCAGTGGAGTCAGGCGCCGTTTGCAAAAAAATTAAATAATATTAATGAAAAAAACATTTCGAAAACAAAAAATTAAAAAAAAAAAAAAAATTGGCTAATGGGCAAAAGTTGGTTTTTTAATTGACGCCTTTGAGCAGCACGCGCCGCATCGACTCTTAAATGTTTATTGACTTTTTGCTATTTTCGTTGGGTTTTATTCCAAGACGTGTTCTAATTCGAACCGGTTGGCATTTGAGCCGAAGCCGAAACCGAAACCGAAACTGAAACCGAAGTCGAACTAAGGCGAAAATACATTTATTTCGAAACACTTGGCAAACACTTTAAATGGAACGATTATTAAATCGGCTACAAAATCGTATGCGATTTAATGCCTATAAACACAATTATAGAAACTATTATTAGACAAGAAAAAAAAAAAATAGAAGAGCAGCTCATTTAAATTTGAGCAGTTCGTTAAAGGCTTTGAATGAAAGGTGAACAAATTCGCTTAGCTGGAAACCGGCTGGCACGGGAGCATCATTAAGCCAAGTCGAAACAAAAGCCCAATAGCGACAAACACACGCATACATAATAATCAAACTGAAATTGAGAAGATGAAAAGGCAAATAAAAAAATTATAATAAAAAGAAGCAAAACAAAACAAAACTTTATATATTAAGCGTTTCGATTTGGGATAGAATGAGCCAAAAATAGAAATGATAGCATGTCCCCAATCGCACACACACACACGCACACATACACATCCATAGATATACCTCTAATTTTATGCTAATCGCGACCCAATCGTTTCAGCATCGGGCATCACCGCCGAGGAGAAATCAATCATCTTGCAGGAACACAATCGCCTCAGGCAACTCGTTGCCACGGGTCGCTATCCGGGCCAGCCGGGCGCCGAGAATATGCGCGAGATCGTCTGGGACGACGAGCTGGCCGCCCGCGCCCAGCAATGGGCGGACAACTGTCAGTTCCGGCACGATCCCCATCGCACAATAAGTAAGTTGTCCATCAAACATTCGCATGCTCGCAATCCTCCTCCATATGGTGAACTTTGGCACATATGAATGCCGGCAATACGACAGCCGGCAGCTGGTTCATGTGATTTACGTGCGAATTACGGTTTGCATGCGCTCGCTCAGAGGGCCTTGGTAAAGTATCATTAATCTACATCCCGGTGCACTGGCCATCATCCGCAATTAAACACTAAAACTAACCGTGCTTGCCCAGACCATACCGCATCTAGCTATAGTCGCCGCAATTGTGGAGCCCTCAAGATCTGGTTGACTAACTTGTGCACTTGTGCTTGATCTCTGTCCACAGATCGCTTCACCATGGGCCAGAATCTGGCTGTCATCTGGAGCACGGCGCCGCTGGATCCCGACGACGGTGATTTCCCGTCGCGCATCCAGAACTGGTTCAATGAGGTGCAAAAGTATTCGTTCGGCGACGCCTGGTCGCCCAAGACGGGCCACTACTCCCAGCTGGTGTGGGGCGAGACCAGCCTGGTGGGCTGTGGCTTCTCCGAGTACAAGGATACGATCAAGTACAACAAGCTCTACGTGTGCAACTACGGACCGGGGTAAGCATGCAACACCAACTGCTGGAAACAAATGAGGTCTAATTCAACTCTCTCTCTCTCTCTCCCTTTCTCTTTCTCTCCCTTTCTGTGTGCAGTGGCAACGTGGTTGGCTACAATCCCTATGAGGTGGGCAAGCCATCGTGCGCCACTTATGGCATGAAGCCCTCGTCACGGTACCAGGGACTGTGCGCCGCGCCAGGCGCCGTGCCGGCGGCCCCCAACAGCGTCTATGGTGGCAACACAATTGAAACGTATGAGTACAGCTACAGCTCTTCAGCTAGCAAGAGCAACAGCAACAGCAACAACAACAAGCCGACTAACAACATTAACAAGAGCCTATTAGCAAACAGCAAACAGAGCAACAGCAACCAAAAACAAAATAATCCCAATCAACCACTTACCCCCTCCTCCTCCTCCCAATTCCCTAAACAGGCAGCACCATCATCATCTCCACCAGCAGCAGCAGCAGCAGCATCGACGACGTCAGGCGGTAGCTCCTCTGGCACCCAGGCACGTGGCAGTAGCCAGGCCTATACAACGGAGAGGAATCAGAGGCATTCCGGTCGGTATTATCACAAGCTCGAGGCATATCGTCCCAGTGCAACGGAGTTCCAGAAGGCCGTACAAAAGCACACTATACTACGCACCTATATAGATCAGAATCCGAGCGAGGAGAAGCAGCAGGATGCGGCAGCGGCAGCGCCAGCGCCAGCGGAGGACGCGCCCGTATCCAGCACACCGAAGCCCAGTCGTGGCTGGAGCCTTTTGAGTTGGCGCGGCTAGAGAGAGGGAGAGAGAGAGAGAGAGGGGGGAGAGAGTGGATATGCCACCTCATCTCATCACCTCAGCTCCTCCCACTGCCCAGCACTGCCATGCAACCAATATGCCGCAGAATGTATTAGCTCACCCGCCCAGTAATAACTACTATGTAGTGTCATTAGAACCATCTTCGATTCTGAGCTTCCCAGCTGACTATGGCTCCTACTCGCTCTAACCTGTCCAACTGTCCCAACTAATATGTAGCAAATGTTAGGCTCTTCTACTCGTATTTAGACATTCCCCATAAGCGAATTGCCATATGATGTAGCGTACATACTATGCCCTCTAGCCTTAGCATCATTTACTCTGCTATTATCATGCTGATATATTTTTAAAATTATTTATATTGTATTATTGATAACGTCATTCAGTCGATTAGCTACCGAATATTTGTATCAAATGTTTGTACCAAAAAAACACTAAAAAAAACCTTAAAAAAAGAACAGGCAAAATTGTAATACAAAATTTTCTATCTTTTATACGGCGTCTAACAACATCCACTAGTTAGTTATATGTATGTAGTATTGTGTTCAAGCAAATAAAAACAGCAAGATGATATTTAAAAGAATAATTTACTTTTTATTTACGAGTGATTTGCTAAAGCAATGACCGAAAACTCGAACTGGCTGAGTGAGAGATCATCGTGTAAACATTTCCGAAGAAAGGTTGTTTATTGCGAATTTCATCGTGGGAACATGACATGCGCTTTAATGAATCATTATGCATTCCAATTAATTCATGTATCAAATAAACCAGGTTTTATGGCCAGATCTGATCTCATATTTACATAACCGAATAATATCACGTACGCACATCTCGGAAAGTTCATCGCATAAACACGGAGGCAATAGGTTTAAAGTTTAAAAAACTCATTAAAATTAATTTGAATTTTTTTTTAATTATTATGTTGACAATTTATCATGCTCTCACATGCATGAACTCTTTTAATTTAAGCGTTAAAGCTCTGTAAAGCCAAAAGTGAGGATTTGGCTCGTTCTGAGTCAACTGTAAGGGATTATTATTATTATTATATAATATTTTGATAAGAAATCTTTTCTGAAATCAGAATACTATTCTTTACAAGTTTCATCGTGTAAACTCAAGTGCTTAAGCTAATAAGTAAAGCCTACTAAGATCAATATCTACTCAAGAGCTGGATTACTATTTATCGCAAGTTTCATCGTGTCAACACAAGTGCCAAAGCATGAAGAGCGCCCTAGCTCTGGCCACTGCGCATGCGTGAGAGCGAGATGAAGAGAGCGCCATAAGGGCGTCTGCTGAATACGCGCTGAATATGCGACCAAGATGCGAGAGACGATTGCTGAAAAAGAGAGTGAGAGAGAGAGAGCGAGCTCAGTCGTAGCTGATAAGGACAACAAAGCCGGGGCTGGCAGCCTGACCAGCATCATAATGAAGCTGCGGTCCAGGAACAATTAATGCGGATGTACACACGATACAAGATAACAATAATGGCTCTCGGGTTGCACACAGCCCGGCGAGCATTCAAGTAGGCGTAGCTAATGGCCCGGCCAAGTGCTATGCGAGCATTATATTGGCCAAATACACCTTGCTGCAGCTCAAGGTCATAAATGCACTCGAATGCGCATCAGCCAGATAAATAAAGCCGATTGCCGCCAGAGCCAGCAGCCATAAAGCTAAACGAGTGGAGAGGAGCTGAGAGGACCCGAAGTGCAAATGAAAAACTCTAAAAAAAAAAGTTTCTTTTGAATGCAAAGTTGTTTGTAAAGCAGAGGCCATTACGTAAATTAAATTAGCGTCAGGTAAAGTTGTGCCAATTAGAGAGAGAGAGAGAGAGAGAGAGAGAGGAGAGGGAAGAGCAAAGAGTGCACTCTGATTAGAATTTTATGAAAAAAATAAAAAATAAAACATATATCAAGCTGAGGCCATGGTTCGACTGTTTTGTGTTTGAAGCACACACAGTAGGCCAATCAAAGCAGCGATTGGGCTCGCCCGCACGTTATCTAAATACTTTTGGCCCGGCTTTAAATTCTATTGTTGTTGTTTGTTTTATTGTAATTGTGCAGTTTATCTGCGTGTTAGCTGTCCCCAATGTGGCAGACCTATTACACTCCAGCATGCTCATAAATGACTATAAATTTTTGAATACACTCACACACACAAACACAGTCACGCACAATGGGTGTCAATTTCATGTGTGTGACACGAAATTAAGATAGGCGCACACTGCTGTCCACTGTTGTATCGGTATCATAGGACATATGACAGCTATAAAACACACAAAGGGGTCTATGGAAATATGCAAATGTATAGAGAAAGAGTCAAAGAGAGAGAGAGAGAGTGAGAGAGCTGGAGTGAGTGAGAGTGAGCGAGGGAGACTCTGTGGCATTTGTTAATTTACACAGTCCGTGCTCGCTGGCTGCGGCTGTTGTCCAAATGCGAATGCACTTCATCATCTTGAGCAGTCACAGGGGCTGGCAGCGTGAAATTAACTGCCAGAGTTTTTCTTGGCAGGACAACTTTTATTTATACATGGCCATTGTCGTACATTAACTTATGATGCGCACTGTGCCCGGCCCAAGTGTCCTCCACGCAATGGCTGACATCTCTCCTTCTCTCTCTCTCACTCTTCTTCTTTCTGTTGCTGCGGCAACTTTTCGTTTAATACAAATGTCAATTTGTTGCAGCTGTCGCAGCAGCAGCAGCCGCAGCGCGAAAATGCAATGTTTGAGCTTATGCGTGAGCGGATTTTCGCCGGGCAGAAATAAAATGAAATAGCCTCGCGTAATTAAGCAGCCGCAAATGTTGCGCGAGTTGCCAAGTTGTGAGAAAAATTGAAAAACGAAAGAGAAGCGAAGCTCAAACGACAAAAGGAAACTGCAGCCCGCATTAACGTGGCTTATGAATATCAAGGCAATCATTTGAATTTCCCTTCATTTTCTTTCGCTGCGCTTCACCAAGTTTTCTCTGTGGTCAAAGAGAAGTACTTAAAATTAATTAATAGTAATATATTGAAATTCTCTTTTATGCAAATATATGCAATTCTCATTTGCTTCTTTTTTGTTGAAGGGTATGTCATAGTCTGGCACATCAACTTGTAAAGCTCATTTAGCTGAAATCTTTGCCAAATGTCATTTGCTCTTTTCACATTAAGCAAATTCGGATGTCCGCTATTCGCATGGCAATCACATCGTAAGACTTAAAATCATTTTTTTATGAATATTTTATTTTTATGTCTACATTACATATATTGCTCATACTCTTGAATGACATTTAATGAAGCATACTCTTAGGCAGAAGAAATAAAACGTTCACATAGTGCAAAAAAAGTGGAAGTCCATGGTAGAAATGTTAATAGTATTAATTAATAATTTGTTATTCAGGTTTCCTTATCTAGATAATAAATAAAAATAATATAAAATTATTTCTCATGAAAAAAAAAATAAATAAAAACTAAATACAATTTATAAATAAAAACAAACAATATTTAATTTTAATATACCTACTATACATCTATCAATATATATTTTTTTGGCTGTGCAGCTGTACCGGGTTGCTAACACGAAAATTTAATGACAGCGATTTTGCAATAGCACAATATAACAATTTAGCCAAAATAACTCAATAATAAAAAAAAAAAAAAAAAAAAAAAAAAAAAAAAAAGAAATAGAGTCATTATAATGAACCAAAGCTGTCTGAATTATTTACATAATAAATCATAAAAAAGTTGAAGTCATAAAATTATGTAGTTTATTAAGCCAAAAAAAAAAAAAAAAAAAGAAAAAAAAATGTCTAAATGTATTTAATAATTACAACAATAATTAATTTAAATTTAATGACTTTATGAAGTTTTTGGATCTCAAGTCGCATATTAAATGGAATTCTGAGATTAGATTTTCAAGTTTGTATCAAATCTGTATATACGAAAAGCTGTCAAGTATTAGAGAATTCATTAGTGATGGGAGTTAAGGCAATAATCTAATACTCTTTAAATTTACATATGACAGGAGATCAGAGATCATCATCAGTCCAAAGCTCATTTGGACTTATGAAAAAACCAAAATATAGAATGACTAATACACGCAAGTGTAAATGAAGATGATATGTAACACTCTTACCTATCTATCTATGTATAACATGCACGAAAGATTCTTATGCTGATTAGATTACACTTGACGTATACACTACTGTATCTTTGTAGAAAAGCACTAGAATGTTGGGAGCAATCATATTTATCGAGCAGCATAAACAGTGGCTTTATTTGCGGGAATGCCTTGTTAACTCATTTGCCTCTACTTTGCTGAGCAAAGTCTTCAGCAAAGTCATGTGTAGAATATGCCAGCCAATGCTCAACCACAAAGTCAGTTGAGAGAATATTGTGTTGAGGAATTTTGTTGGGAGGTAGGTGCTCATCCTGAATGAGTCACAACGGATGTCTAATGATGTCAAGTCTTCACATTTGTCGACAGGCAACAAGGTATCAGCTTTCACATAGGAGTCTCAAAAGTGAGCTGTGCAGGATATACACACAGAGATTGAAATGGTTGAACAATCTATGATTATAAATAAATATACCAATGTATATGTGTGTGTAACTTAAACACATAATAAACTATATTGCAATCTAAAATATATATTTAGAGTACACATAAATGCTAAGCACAGAAGCAATTGAAGACATAGAATACATATGTATATTGAAAAAGTTTTTCAATTTGAGTTAAGCTTTTATTTCACATTCAAAGATATCCCACACAAACACAAGCACACACACACACACTCTACACTTGCAGCAAATGCAAAACTATGTTTATTGTTGAGAGAGGGAAATCCTCAAACTCACACACCCACACACACATGGAAAATTAGAAATAGAAAACCGAGTAACAAAAAACCAACTGAGGCAATAAGCGAAAATGAAATGAAAAATCATGAATGGCCAACGAGCGAGAGACTGAAGGCAGTGCACACTGTGCAGGGGGTAAGGGGCGCTGGGGAAGACTAACTGACTGGTGCCGTGCCGGTGGCAACGATATCAAACCAAACCAGACCAAAACCAGAAAAATAGAAAAGCATTGGTAGCATTCAGCTAAAGCCCGAGTTTAGCATTGCCCGTGAAATGAAAAGCGAAGGGCAGCCAAAATGCTGAAAATTACCAAAAGCCAAGCGCTGCCCTCCATAGAATATACAAATACCAAGCTACGCTGCCCCTCCCCCGCGCCGTGCCGAAGCCCTGCCAATGCGAGATAAAAATCGAAATATCAAAAGTTGTGCAGACGAAACGTTGTAATATGGGAATTGGAAAGCGAACTCTCTCTTTTATTTATGCTCGGGCCCGTGTTCATGCAGAAGCTCTTGGCAACATCATTTGCTTTTTATTCTAGTATAAGCTCTTTGAATGCGTTACAGAAACAGCAGCAAAGCCATTTCAATAGATTTATAATTACTCAAAT